GTCAGATCCTGACCTCAACCCCATCAAACACCTTTGCCAGAGCCGGTATCACAGAACATCAGTGTTTGATCTCAACAGAATAAACGCCTTCCAGCTCCTTTCATGGCCACTTGAGGCCGACTCCCATGTTAAAATGCTTTAAAGCAGAAATAAGCATGTTTAGGTTTGCTTCTATGGATATCTTCCCCTTTCATAACAAAAATACAGAGGGTGAACTGCTCACTTACCCCTCCGTTTTTGTTTTTGAGTCTTGCTCTGCTTGTATGTGTAAACCTGCAATCAGCCAATCACATGTAGACACGGTCAAGACAACTTGCTGAAGTTCAAACTGAGGATCTGAATGGGGAAGAGTGCTTGCTGGCAAACGTTGTGGCCTAAATATTTCAGAAACTGCTGATCTGCTGCAATTTTCCCACACAACCATCCCAGAGTTTACAGAAATTGGTCTGAAAGTGGAAAATGTCCAGCGTGTGGGAGGTCTATGGGGAGAAAAAGCCTCGCTGATGTCAGAAGCCGGTGGAGAATGGCCAGGCTTCTTCAAGCTGATAGGAAGGAGGCAGAAACTCAAATAACGACTCATTACAGTCAATGTATGCAGAAATCTCTGAATGCACACATCAGACCTTAAAGCTGATGGGCTACAGCAGCAGGAGACCCCACGAGCATTACTCCTATCAGCTACAGTTCCCACAGGCTCACTCTAATGAGACAACAGCATAATATACATTGGATAATGGGATTTCTGTTCAACCCTATATTCAAATGGTAGGGTCAGAAAATAAGTCTAGCCTTGTATGAACAGTTCAGGATGCTGCTGGTTTAATGGTGAGCATCATTTAAACCCCTCAGCTTACTGACCGCAGTGTACCTGTCTTCCGATTGCTACTGCAGCATCCTCAACCTCAGATCGTCTCAAACCAGTTTATCGAACGTGACGCTGAGTTTGCTGGACTCGAATGGCCTCCAGTCGCCTGATCTCAGTCCAGCAGAGCACCTCCGGGAGGTGATGGAACCCGAGGAAGGCTTCCAAGAATTAGGGCAGTTCAGACGGGACGGGGGGGTCCAGCATGGATGTTTGTGTTTTCTGTGCTGCAGTAAGACGTCACTCGAGCCTTTTATTGATTCACAGTGAAAGTTCTTGTTTCTCCGAAGAAAAGTGAGCAGCATTTCAGTTAACAGAAGACATTTAAAAAAAAAAAAAAAACAATGTCTGAATGCCAAACAGGAAACTCGGACAATAAAGTCTGAGTCCTCGCAGCTGCCTCTCAGACCTGCTTCCTTTAGCTGCTCATTAGAGACCAGTAAA